TCTTCTTTTAAATATTATTCAATAATAGTGAATTTTAGTTTTATAGTTTTTGGTTCAATATAGAAGAGTTTGAAAATTGCGTTTTCCTGTAAAATGCATTTTCTTTTAATGAATAGAGAAAATGGATACTGCAACAGTTGGTAATAAGAGTGAATCCTATTTTTTATTTTAAATTTCAATTTTCTGCATATGCTCTTCTATCGGGCAGTTAGAGAGTTCACACTTGTTTCCAATTTAAGTAGTATAAAATTTTTTGGTCAGACGCATTCATAATTTTCTTGTGTATATGTTACCGGCAAAGTATGTAATCAGGCATTTTATAAAATACCTAGGCAGTATATAAAATGCCTGTCTGTCTCAGGCAATGTGTATAAAAAAAAGATTTTCTATACATTGCCTAGGCATTATATAAAATGCCCACTAGACTTTAGGCAAAGTATAAAATTTAGTTTTATTTCAAATAATATACATTTTTCTGTTATAAAAATATTAACTTTCTTTTGTAATTTATTTGTTACAACACGGCATACTTGAATGACATTTCGACTGACACTGGACCTTATTTTTTATGCATAAATATTTGTTGCTTTGACAGTTTTTTACAAGAACATTTTACAAAACCTTGGCCTGTTCCTTTTTCTCGGTAGCTTTAACATTATTAACATCACTTATCAACTGCTTATACCGTTCGTCTGATAAAAATATACTGTTTTTTGCCATTGCATTTTTAATTTTAGAAAATTCGGAAAAAATCTATCCCTTGTCACCGAAACATTTCCTATTTCTGCACTCATTTTAAGTTCAAATTTATGTTTCTGCGACTGATTACCTCAAAATGTGAGAATTGACTGACAAAATTTGTATTTTCTGTTAATTAAGTATTATTCTTAAGAGTTAGAAATATTGAACTTCATTGTATAAAATTACTCACTGCTAACATGCAGCTATGTAAACATAGCTAAAATACTTATTGTTATATACTTATTATTTTCTATTTATAATAGAAAAATCGTGGAAAGTGTTTATAGAAAAAGGTAGACGTTTCAAGCTGCTGAGACTATTATATACTTTACCTTATGCTCGATGGGCATTTTATAAAATACCTAGGAATTTTATAAAATGCCTAGGCAATATATGAAAAAATAATTTAATTATATACATTGCCTGAAATGGACAGGCTTTTTATATACTGCCTAGGCATTTTATAAAATGCCTGGATTTCATACTTTGCCGGTAACATATACAAAAGTATCGCAGAAATATGGAAATTTTATTTTTATTTTTCTTTAGTAAAAAAAAAAAATAATTTAATAATCAATCCCAAAAATTAAAAAAAAAATGCCAAGACAAGCAGGTACAAATTTTTTCTGAATCAAAGATAAGTAAATGATAATTAAAAGATTTCTGAATCAATGATAAGTTAATGATAATTAATTTAATGATAAGTCCAAAAATGAAGATTTTTTAAGTCGAATTTTTTAAATTTTTTTTAAAAAGAAGTCAAAAAGGTTTTTAGTTCGAGGTCTGCAGTCATTAAATTTACTATAAAAAGTAGAAAAATCAAAAAGTTTTGAAATTATTTTTCTTGAAATGTATACGCGCACATATATCTATACATGTACATAAAAGAAAAGTCGTAGGTATATTTACTTTCTAAAGTAGTTCTACATTTACGCGCCACAATAATTTCAAAGTTTATCACTTTCCTTACTTTGAAGTTTCAAGATTCGTGATAGGAAAGCATATAGCTTAAAGTCCTCATGATTATTAACCATATTTGCGCTCCTTTAACAGTCGTGTCAACAGTTTTTAATAATGAAAATATCACCATATGTAAAGTATGAATAGCAATTTGTAATTATAGCTCGAAAAAATTCTTAAAAATTAAAAATTACAGTTTTAATAAAGTATTAATAAAGTAGGTTAGGATAGTTAAGTCTAATTAATAAAGTGAATATTATATTAATTATCTTTATAAATAATAAAATTCTTCTCCAAAATTCAATTATTTTTAAGAATTTTAATAAAATTCTTGGCAAAATTTCAATTATTTTCAAAAATTTTCCTCAATTTAATGAATTTCAATATCTACTGTTTTAATCAATTTTTCCAAAAGAATTCAATTATTTAATGAAAAATTTAATAAAATTCTACGCAAACATTTCAATATTTTCATTAATAATAAAATTTTCACAGGAATTTAATTATTTATAAATTTTTCATAAATTTCATCGCAATAATTCAATTATTTTAATAAAAAAAAAATTTTTTTAAAGAGAATCAATTATTTTCATAAATAAAATAATTCTTTCTAGAAATTCAATAATTTTCATATAAATAATAAAATAATTTAGAAAAATTATATTATTTTTAATATAATTTTAATAAAATTCTACGCAAATAAACAATTATTTCCATAAATAATAAAATTTTTACAGGAATTCAATGATTTAAAATAGAATTTTCATTAAATTTATTTGAGAAAAATCAATTATTTCAAACAATTTTCGCAGGAATTCAATTATTGTCAAGGCAATTTTTTTATCAAATTTGTTGAACGAATTCAATTATTTTTAAAAATCTAAATAAAATTCTATATAAGGATTGAATTGTTTTCAAACAAATTTTAATTTTATACGTCGAAAAAATTTGTAAGAATTCTCATAAATATAAAAAAAATTTTCATAGAAATTCAATTATTTTTGATGTTAGTTTAATAAAATTCTTTGCAGAAATTTTATTATTTTTATAAATAATACAATTTTTATAAGAATTCAATTATTTTTAATGGAATTTTCATAAATTTTCTTGAAAGAATTTAGTTATTTTAAAAAATTTAATTAACATTTTATATAAAAATTGAATTAAGTTCAATATTTTTATTGATTTCATCGAAAAAGTTTGTAAGAATTCAATTATTCTCATTAATAATAAAATTCTTCGAGAAAATTCAATTATTTTGAACATGATTTTATTTCAATTCTTCTTAGAAATTCAATTACTTTAATAAATAATAAAATTCTTCTCAAGAATTCAATTATTTTCATAAAAAAAATAATAAAACTCATTTCAGAATTTCAATTATTTTTGATTTAATTTTAATGGAATTCCTAGAAAAATGGAATTATTCTTAAAAATTTATATAAAATTCGTCGAAAAAATTCAATTTTACAAAACATTCAATTATTCAATAAATTAAACATTTTTGTATTTAAATTGAATATTAAAAGCATTATAGCATAAATTTTAAGAAATAATTGAATTTTAAAAGTGTTTCAAATTATAATCTCAATGACGTTCAAAAATTAAAAAAAAAAATTTGTCAAAAAATTCAATTTTCTTTATAAATAATAAAATTCTTTTCTGAAGTTAAATTATTTTCGATAATTTTAATAAAATTCTTGTCAAAATTTCAATTATTTTCAAAGTATTTTCCTGAATTCAATGATTTTCAATACCTACTATTTTAAAAAAAATTTCCAAAAATTCTAATAAATATAAAAATTGCACAGGAATTCGAATAATTATAAAGTTTTTTGCAATAATTCAATTATTTTTATAAAATATAATTTTCTAAAAGGAATCAATTATTTTCAAAAATAATACAATTTTATTTTACGAATTCAATTATTTTCATAAATAATATAATTCATCGCAAAATTTCAATTATTTTGAAAACAATTTTAATCGAATTCCTTGAAAAATGTAATTATTCTTAAAATTTTTTATTAAAATTCGTCAAAAGAATTCAATTATTTACAAATTTGTTGATAAAAATCTTAATGAGCATTTAATTTTAAGAAACATTCAATTATTGCATAATTTATTTATTTTTATATTTAAATAATTGAATTCTCGTAGAATTCTGTAATAAAAATTTATTTAAAAATAAATTTTAGTTAAAATTTTTAGATAATAATTATTGAATATCAGAAGTGTTATATTTGAATTTTTAGAAATAATTGAATTTTCAAAATGTTCAAATTAAAATTTTTGAAAATTTGAAACGTCAGGAAAATACAAAATTAAATTTTTGTGACAACCCTAATTATTTTTATTTGATTCGACAGTTTTTTTTTACTATTTTTATCATAAATAAAACTGTAGTTTAAAATTTTTTTTAAATTAATTATGGAAAAAACATTGTAATTTCTAACACTATAATTGAAAAAAATGTTTAACAGAAAAAAATCGATAAAAATTCAATTTTATTCTACAAGTTCTATTGGAGACATATATTAGAAAGGTTTCGGAGATAAAATTATTTTGGCCTATTGCATAAATTCGGTTGAATAAAATTGATTTTTTTAAATAATAAGTTAGTGTTTAATTTTTACTATGCAGAAGCAGGTTAATAATTATTAGAGAGAAGATTTTATAAAATTATATTCAAGACATCAAAAATACTTTCAGAAGAATCAGATAATCGACAAGAAATCGTTTATTTAAATCAAGTACATTTTTTTTATATGGTTAAGTGGAGGAAAATAAAAAATGAAAATAAACAGGTATTTTGTTAAGAGCAGAAGAAAATGAAAAATATAAAAATACTAAAATTATAAAGCATACCTAATCTTTAGGTTTGTACATAATTCCATTGTGCATTTTCATTTGACACTTGTGTTGTCCAACATAAAAAAAAAAAGAAAGAAGGCATGACGTCATTGCCTACAGCTTCTTTTGTCTTGGAGAAAAAAAAGTAATTAAAACAATTAAGTCTTGAAACTTGATGTGAAATTCATTTTTTAACAATTAAAATTAAATAAAAACTGAAATTAATTTTCCTCTTAATTTTTTGAGTGAAAAATAAAGAAAGTTATTTAATTTAAAAACAAGTTTTGTGTGAGGGAATATTTTTTTTTATTTCTTTTCTCGGGGAAAATTTCTCCAAGACAGCTTGCCGCTACGTGTTGACCCTCTAGTGGATCCTGCATCCTGAGAATTTAACCCCTCAATGTGGTGTCCTCAGCATGAACCCTAATATCCTGGTAATTTTGTAGTTTCGAAAGGTTGCAGGAGAACGACGTGAGGAGCTCAGGTGGGAAAAAGAATTGGAATGGAAGAACAAATCCAGAAGCGGTTCGCCTGAACGTCATCAAGGAGAGAGGGCCGACCGAGGGGAGAGAAGTGAGAGGGGCGAGAGAGCTGAAAGGGGTAGAGCGACGAGTCCGCAAAGAGTGGGCAAGAGGACATCGATAACAGGTAAGAACTCTCCACACCCTTGTTGATCCTTGTTTAATATAAATTGACCTCAACGCTTTTTTTCCACCCACCCGAAAAAAAAAAAAACAGAGAACACAAATAAAATTTGTGGGCAAAGACGCAAAAGTTTAATTTATTAACTAAGGAGAATGTCCAACGAAGGGAAAATCCGTTTGGAGGCACATATATGTATATAGAGCTTATAACGACATTGCATTTTACTGACGCATTTTTAATAGTTGGCCCCGACGAAAGAGTCGTAATTACTTTTATATTATGCACTTTCCGTTTCGTGTTCGCAACATTTATTTTTTTCTCTTAATTAAATTTTAATTAAGCTTGACTCTACCGCGTGTAGGAATTTTTAAACATTAAAAATCTACAATACTCGCTGTCTGTGCTGTGTATAACTATGGAAATGCGTGTATGAAACCATTTTTCTGTAGATATTTTGCATTAGTAATAATTTGCTTTCATCAATTTCAAAAAATATTAAATTTTTGTTAATCATAGATTATAAATTTGTCTACTAAGTGTATATTATGAATTTATATTTATTAATTACGAATTATAAAATGTAACAAATTCTCCAACATTAATTTTTACATTTACATCCACTTCTAAAACTACTACTAAAATAAATAAAACTAATACACTACTAAAATATTTACTACTTTTTTTGATTTACTACTATTTGGACCATTTTTTTTTTTTTATTAAAAGATACTTTTTTCTTTTTTGAGAATTTGTAAAACATTAAATTCGCTGAAAGATGAAATAAAACAATCATTGTCTAAAACTTTAATAAAATTCTCAGAAACTACTCGATTATTTTCAAAAAATTTTCAAGGTTCATTTATTTTCAATATCTATTATTTTAAAAAAATATTCCAACTAAATATTTAATTCATTAAATTTTTTTTTGAGAAAAATCAATTATTTAAATTAAAAGAATTATTTTTTAAAATCTTCGAGGGAATTCAATTATATTCAATGCAATTTTAATCAAATTTCTTGAAAGAATTGAATTATTTTTGAAAGTTTATTAATAAAAATTCTGTATAAGAATTGAATTATTTTCAATGAAATTTTTATTAAATTCCTCTAAAATTTGTAAGAATTCAATTATTTTGATAAACAATAAAATTTTTACAAAAATTCAATTATTTTCTACAAACAATTGTGAAGCCAAATAGTTTAGACAAATTCAATTATTTTAAATATCATTTTAATAAAATTCTTCTAAAATGTTCAATTATTTTCATAAATGGAATTTTTACAGGAATTCAATTATTTAAAATACAATGTTCATTAAATTTTCCGAACAAAATCAATTATTTAAATGAATTTTTTAAAATTCTTCACGGAAATTTAATTATTTTTAACGTAATTTTAATCAAATTCTATACATAAAAATTGATTTTTTTTTTAACAAAATTTTAATGATATTTGTTGAAAAAATTTGTAAAAACTCAATTATTCTCATAAATAATAAAATGCTTTAGATAAATTCTATTATTTTGAATACAATTTCAATAAAATTCTTCGCTGGAATTCAACTATTTTCATAAAAAATATAAAACTTTATATAAATTCTATTATTTTGAATATAATTTTAATAAAATTCTAAGAATTCTATATTAATTTTCTTGAAATGTATTGAAAATAAAATTTTCATTAAATTTTCGGAACAAAATTAATTACTTGAAAATAATTTTTTTTTAAATTCTTCACTGGAATTAAATTATTTTCATAAATATCAAAATTTATAGCAAATTTTCAATTATTTTTAATTCAATTTTAAATAAATTACCCGAAAAGAAAAATGCAATAATTTTTTAAAATATTATTAAAATTCTAGTCAGTAATTCAATTATTTTCATAAATAATAAAAATTTTACAGGAATTCTTTAAGGTATAATTTTCATAATATTTTTGGAACAAAATCATTCATTTATAAAAAATTTAATAAAATTCCACGAAAGAATTGTATTATTTTCAAAAAATAATCAAAATTATCGCTGAATTCTAATTATTTTTAATGTAATTTTAAATAAATTCGTCACAAATGCAATTATTTTTAAGAGATTCGATAAAATTATTTAAAAGAATTCAAGTTTAAGAAATATTCAAGAAATTATTGATATTTACATTTAAATAATTGAAATCTCATAGAACGTTCAAATAAGAATTGATTCAAAAATAAATTTCTATTAAAATTTTAAATTGAAATCTTTGAAAATTTTTACAAGAATTTAATGATTTAAAATACAATTTTCATTAAAATTCGTTGAAAAAAATCGATTATATTTAAAAAATTTTTATTCTTCGCAAGAATTTAATTATTGTCATAAATAAAAAAAAATTATTGCACAATTTTATTTATTTTCTATACAATTTTAAATGAATTCAATTATTCACTTAAATAATAAAAATCTTCATTGGAGTTCATATATTTTCATAAATAATAAAATTTTCACATGAATTCAATTATTTAAAAATTAAAATACAATTTTAATATAATTTTTCGAAAAAAATCAAATGTTTAAATAATTTTTTATAAAATTCTTCCTAAAAATTTAATTTTAATTATATTCGTCAAAAAATTGGTAGGAATTCAATTATTATGATTAGTCTTTTGAAAAATTGTAATGAAAATGCTTTGAAAAGTAGTTGAATTCCAGTGAATAATAATTTAAAAATATGAAATTAATATTTGCAATTACTTGGAATCTTTGTCAAATTTTATTGAAGTAAATATTATGTATTTTAATAAATTTTTGTTCTCCACTTTTAAAAATTATTTTCAAATATTATATAATCGTATTTTCGAAGAATTTTAAATTAAAATTCAGAAAATTATTGAATTTTGTAAAAATTTAGAATTAAAGTTATTAGGAGTATAAAAAAAACGTGAATATTTTTTATGAAAATTAGAATAAAATCAGGGAAATAAAATATAGAATCAAATTTTTTTGTATCGTGTAAAACGAGTTTTTTTAGTCGTTAAATTTAATTTTTCAATAGCTACTGTTTTACTACTTTTTTACGGTCTTAAAGCTATTTTTTGCTACTTTTTTTAAAATTAATTATCGAGTGCGAAGCCTGCTCTGTTTTTCATGTCCAAAGAATTTTAAATAAGAATTCTTTTCTCTTTTGTGAACTTAGGAAACGAGCAGGAAATCACATCAGACATTACGGTTGAAGAGGAAGAAGAAAGACGTCGTCGCGCAAGACGTCGAGCATCGACAATAGGTTCAAAATCAAGAGTGACTCGACAACGATCATATGATGATGAAATTAAAACGGCATCAATGGGCGGTGGTCATTCATCTCATTCCGACATGGGACTGGGACTTCCGGTTCAATTACCGCGAAGGGCATCAGCCTATGATGTTTTCGCGACTCCCGGAGGAGGAAGTTTAAATGCCATGGCAATCGTTGCTGCACAACACAGAGCTTCCTTCTCTTCACAAGGTTCGTTGCCTAAATTTTTTATTTTTCACGACTGTTATAAAAAATTTGTCAAAATCGATTTTCTAAATAAATCTTTGTATTTTTATTTATTTATTTACAATTACAACTTATTTATTTACAATTACGGACTATTTTGACATTTACGGTCAAATCAGAGAACATTTTACTTAAAACTATAAATTAAATTTTTTCATAACCATAAAACATAAAGATATCGATCACTCCGAGTCTTCGACTCGGAGTAATCGATTTCTTCATGTTTTATAATAATTAAAGATGTCAAATTAATAAAATCATTACTTTATATTATAAGAATTGTACTTCTTTAAATCAATTAATTTTCGAAAATGTTCTTTGACAATTTTCAAATCCATTTGTTTACAATATTCAATTTTACGAATTCCAATTATTCGTAAATTCTTCAATTAAATATATATTAGAAAATAAAAACTTTAAAGAATATAACAAAAATTCAATTAAACTTTAAAAAAAAAATTAATTTCAAAATTCAAATATTTCAAAAAATTTACGCCATATTGCTTTTAATATTCAATTATTATCTCAAATTTTAACTGAAATTCATTTTTAAATCAATTTTTATTAAAAAAAATTCTACTAGAATTCAATTATTTAAATACAAAAATAAATAATTTATTGAAAAATTGAATTGAATTATCATAAAGAATTTTATCAACAAATTTTTAAGTAGTTAATTTTTTTCAACTAATTTTAATAAAATTTTTAAGAATAACTTATATTTTTCGAGAAATTCGATTAAAATTGTATAAAAAAATAATTGAATTCATAGGAAGAATTTTATTAGGTATTTTTGAAAATAATTAAATGTTTGCGTAGAATTTTATTAAAAGTTTTATGAATAATTGAAATTTTGTCAAGAATTAAATTATTTATTAAAGAATTAATTAAAGAATTTTATTAAAATTCTTTAAAATTCTTGAGTTTCGGTGAAGAATTTTGTAAATTATAAAAATAATTGAATTTCTTTTAAATTTTGAACATAGTTGAGATTTTAATTTGAAACCTTTTCAAAATTCAATTATTTCTAAAAATTCACGCTATTTTCCTTTTAATATTCAATTATTATCTAAAATTTTAACTAAAATTCATTTTTAAATCAGTGTTTATTAGGAAATTTTTTACTAGAATTCAACTACTTAAATACAAACAAAAAAATTTATTTTTAAATCAATTTTTATTATAAAATTTTATACTAAAATTCAATTATTTTTAAATACAAAAAAACAGTTTATTGAATAATAATTGAATGTTTCTGCAAATTGAATTCTTTCGACGAAATCTAATAAAATTTTTAAGAATACTTCCATTTTTTTAAGGAATTTGATAAAAATTGTATTAAAAATAATTGAAATTCTGCGATGAGTTTTATTATTTCTGAAAATAATTGAATCTCTAGAAAGAATTTTATTATTTTTGATATTTTTATTAGAAAATCCTACTAGAATTCAATTATTTAAATACAAAAATAAACAATTTATTGAATAATTAAATGTTTCTTAAAATTGAATTCTGATAAATAATTTTATCGTCAAATTTTCAAGTAATTAAATTCTTTTGATGAATTTTAATAAAAATTTCAAGAATAATTACATTTTTTGAGAAATTCGATTAAAATTGTATTGAAAATAACTGAAATTTTGCAATGAGTTTTACTATAAAAATATTTAATTATGAAAATAATTAAGTTCCTAAAAAGAATTTTATTATTTTCGAAAATAATTGAATCCTTGTAAAAATTTTATTATTGGTAAAAATAAATGAATTCTTGAGAAGAATTTTATAAACAATTTTTTATAATTTTATTCGAAAAATGTTATGAAAAGTGTATTATAAATAATTGAATTACTATGGAAATTTTATTATGTATAAAAATAATTGATTTTCTACGAAAAATTTGATAAAATCATGTTCAAAATAATTGAATTTATTCTACAGTATTTTCTTATTTATAAGAATAATTTTATTTCTAGGTAGAAATTTAATAATCATTATTAATATAATCATTTTATTATTTATGACAATAATTGAATTCTTACAAATTTTTTCGACGTATGAAATTATAAATTTTATTAAAAACAATTCAATTCTTATCTAGAATTTTATTAAAATTTTTAACAATAACTGAATTCGTTCAAGAAATGTTATTAAAATAATTTAATTAAGAATAATTGAATTCCGGCGAAAATTCTTTTAAATATTTGATTTTTCTAGAATAAATTTAATGAAAATTCTATTTTTAATCATTGAATTCCAGTAAAATTTTTATTATTTATGAAAATAATGGATTATTTTCGTAGGATTTTATCAAAATTATATTAAAAATAATTGAATTTTTCTAAGGTATTTTATTATTTATGAAAATAATTGAATTCATAAAAAGAATTTTTTTTTATCAAAATAATTGAATTATTGCGAAGAAAATTATGAAAAATTTATAAATAATTGAATAGAATATGATTAAAATTTTTTTTAAATAATTGAATACTTTTAGAAAATTTTATGAAAATAGTAGCTATTGAAAATCATTAAATTGAGGAAAATTTTTGAAAGTAATTGAAATTTTGCCAAGAATTTTATTAAAATTATCGAAAATAATTGAACTTCAGAAATGAATTTTGTTATTTCTAAAGATAATTGAAATTTTGACGAGAATTTAAAAAAATTTTTGAACATAATTCAAGTTTTGCGACGTATTTCATTACTTTTGAAAATAATTGAATTTCTGCAATCATTTTTAATTTCTATAAAATTCTCTAAATTATTTATGAAAATAATTGAATATTTGCGTAGAATTTTATTAAAATTCTTCTAAAATATTAAATTGTTTTGGGACATTTCATTAAAAAATAATTGAAATATATAATAATAATAATTAATTAAAATTAATAATATAGGTAATAATTGAAAATAATTGAATATCGAAAAATTTTTGAAAATAATTGAATCGTTTCTAAGAATTTATTAAAACTTTTGAGAATAATTTTTTTATTTCAACTTCCACCGAATTTCAATTTGTGTACATTCTCCAAAAAAAAAGTAAGAAGTATCTTTTATTATCACAAATCTAAAAGAATAAATATTATTAAAAAAATAATATAATAATAATCATAACAATAATAATAATAACTTGCATAAATAGCAGGTAATCGTAAAACAAACTATAGTAAATAATTTCTTTTAATAGATGTGTATAAAGATTGCGGTTAGATTGTATAAAAATAATAAATCAACGTATACAAATCGTGGTAATAAAATAATTTAAATACCAAAAATTGATCCTAATAGTGATTATAGGAAAAAAAATAATAGCCAATTCGATGAGCCAGAAAACGTATAAATCTTGAATGTAGTGTGTTAAAAAATTCACCCATATTTCTCCATATTGAGAAACAAACAAACAAATCACATCAACAACGATTAATAGTTAAACCATCGCAAGGCAGATATGAAACTGAATCTGATATCGAAATATATAACATTTTCAAGAGGCTATCTTTAGAGGATAAAATTTTTATTAATACCTATACGTATATATAAATTATTATTATTATACCATGAAATGTAAAATAGTTACGACGCAATGAATAATATGTGCAGTAAACTTAATATTACATAGGCATTTCATACGAATAGTTTCAAGCAGATGATGCACTTATATGAATATTGGAAATCTCTTAAAATTTTGTGTACGCGGTCAAAATGACGAGGGGAATTTAAATTCGACAAAATTTCTCTCTCCTTGCGCGCAAAAAAAAACCACGGTCATTATTTTATGTTCATTTGAGATCAAAGCACACACAGTTCTGTGAACTTCATTTCGTATTATTGAAACTTTGTAGGAGAAGCGTGTAGGCAATCCAATTACCTGCTATTTGCAGATACCTTCAGGGCATTCGGTGCCTTATCGCAACTGGGACGAACGACTCTTAAAACATAATCGAGTCTTACAAACTTATCTTTTAACTGGAGAACTTGGAAACTGAAAACTAGCCACCTCGCGAGTCTTAACTAACTTAATTACTCTTGAGACAATAAAAAATAAAGAATATACTTCCGGAATAAAATAATCTCGCGCAACACTTTTGTTTCGAGTACCTAATAGATTTTTTTTTTGGGGATTTTCTTAAATTAATAAACTTTTAAGTAGAAAAGGTCAATTCTAATTAGACGGGCAAGCGTCTATTTTTAGCACACTCAGGGTTACCACAAAAATTTAATTTCCAACTTCCCTGACATTCTCTTGATATGCAGACAAAAATTTTCTTTTTCCTTGACATTTTTTGAGTTTTTCTCTCGTGAAAGTAAAAATACTTGAGAGAAATTTTCATGTTAATAACAATAAATACAGGGCTCGAACTAGGTCCGTAAAAATCAGTTTTTAAAAAAAAATGCCCGTAAAGTCCGTAATTTAATTGAAAAAGGACGAAAAGTTCGCAAATTGTACGATATAATAAAATTTTTACACGAATTCAATTATTTACAAATTACAATACAATTTTATTAAAAATTTTCGAACAAAATCAATTATTTATTTTCAAAAGAAAAAAAAATTAATAAAGTTCTTTGCACAATTTCAATTATTTTTAAAACTTCCCCTCAAATCAATGATTTTTTATATATACTATTTTAAAAAAAATATTCCAAACAGAATATTTAATTCATTAAATTTTTTTGATAAGAATCAATTATTTAAAAGAATTATTTTTTAAATTCTTCGCGAGAATTCAATTACATTCAATGCAATTTTAATAAAATTTTTTGAGAAAATAGAATTATTTTTCAAAATTTAATAAAAATTCTATATAAGAATTAAATGTTTTTCATTTAAAATTTGAACTAAATTCGTCGACAAATTTTATAAGAATTCAATTATTTTCAAAAATAAAAAAATTCTTTTTAAGAATTCAATAGTTTTTATAAATAATAAAATACTTAAGAAAAATCCAATTATTTTGAATATAATGTTAATAAAATTCTTCGCTGAAGTTCAATTATTTTCATAAATATTAAAATACTTTAGGTAACTTCAATTATTTTGAATTTGATTTTAATAAAATTCTCCGCAGAAATTCAATTATTTTTATAAAAATAAAATTCATACATGAATTCAACTGTTTAAAATACAATTTTAATAACATTTTTCGAACAATATCAATTATTTAAAAAAAATTTTATAAAATTCCTCCAGAGAATGTAATTATCTTTAATAAAATTTTAATGAAATTCTTCGTAAAAATTTTTAAGAATTCAATTATTTTCATAAATAATAAACTACTCCTCTGAATTTCAATTATTTTCACAAATAATAAAATACTTTTGATAAATTCAATTATTTTCATAAATAATAAAATTTTTATTAAAATTCAATTTTCATAAAATTTTTCTAAATAAATTCAATTATTGAAAGAAATTTTTATAAAATTCTTCTCAAAAATTTTATTTTCCTGATTAATAATAAAAATTATGGAAAAATTTCAATTATTATCAATTCAGTTTTAAAGAAATTTCTCGAAACAATCCTTGGAAGATTCCATTCGAAAGAATTTAATTATTTTAAAAATATTTGATAAAATTCTTTATAGGAAACCAATTTTAAAAAATATTTAAATATTCAATAAGTTATTTATTTTTATATTTCAATAACTGAATTCTCATAAAATTTTGTAAAAATAATTGATTTAAAAATAAATTTTAGTTAAAATTGTAGATAATAATTGAATATTTAGAAGCGTTATTGTATTAATTTTTATAAATATTAAATTTCAAACAATTTTTATATTTAAATCTCTGAAAATTTCAATTGTTCTAATACTCATAATATTCTAATTTTTATTTGAAAAAAAAATTTTTAATTTATTATTTTCTTAAAAAATGATTAAACTTTTAAATAATTTTATTTAAAAATCCTTAAGAAATAATTGAATTTTGGAAGAATTGCAGTAGCAATTTTTAGAAAGTGTAAAATTTTTAGAATATTTCTCATTGTAATCCTTTAAAATATTTTAATTTCTGTGAAAAAAATAAATACGTATTTAAATATTTATTTAACAAAAATTATTCAAGTTTTAGTTATTATTTAATTTTGAAATTATGAAAAAAATTAGTCTTTTGAAAAATTATAATTAAAATATTTTGAAAATAGTTGAATTTCTGTGAATAATTTAAAAATATTAAAATAATATTTGCAAATATTTGGAAACTTTGTCAAATTTTATTGAAATAAATTGTATATTTTAACTGGGATTTTTGTTTTCCACTTTTAAAAATTATTTTTAATTAATTATAATCTTATTTTCGAAGAATTTTAAATTAAAATTTAGAAAAAAATTGAATTTGGTAAAAATTTAGAATTTAAATTATTAAAAGTGTAAATATTTTTTATGAAAATTAGAAAAAATCAAGGAAATAAAAAGAAGAATCAAATTTTTTTTTGATTTTTGTGAATCATTAAAAACGAGTTTTTTAGACGTAAAATGTAATTTTTCAATAATATTTATTCTCTAATTATCTTTTTCAGGCACACGAGACCAAGAAGACAGGCCATCATCCCGAAGACCTTCCATTCGAGCGGGAGTTATGCCTTACGATATAGCAACTGACGAAGAAAAAATAATAAATTTGGATTTAGCACAAACGCCCGAAGTGACATCACAATCTGGACAATCGTCAATTCTTGCTCCAGATGAGGACCGACGTTCAAGACGCAGGGGCTCCCAATTGTAAGTCTCAATTTTTTACTTATTTTTACAATATTCAAAATAATTATTTTTCCCTAAAATCTATTTGAAATATTCCTCTTTCTAAATATAGACGCAAAATGGAAATTATTTATCGGTGGAATTTTATTACAGAGAATTCCTATTGAAAGCATAATAATTCTGTTTTTTTTCCCTTTTTTTTTCTCCCTGTCGCTTCATCTTTGATGTATTCAACGTTTCTACTCTTTTATTTTTACTTCCAAGTGCACTTTCTAAATGCTTTTAACGGTGCAAGCGTCGCTTTTTGCTTTGCTGAACGCGACATCTAAATGAAAAGAAATTACACGATACTCGTATATAGCAAAATAAAGTTTGTTTACTTGTTATATTAAAATGTTTGATTTAATCAAGCTTTCAAATAATTAAGATCCCGGTTAAATTGCTTATTGGTTTAATAACAAAAAAATTCAGCTAATTTCTGTGAATTACTATTAATAAAAAAATGCAATACCAAATTAGCGAATATTTATTACTGACATTCATAAAATGGACAAAAATAAAACTTTATCGATCCGAATATAATTTTACACACTCGAGGACGCTGTGTGACGGAGATTGTGAACATTGATGTTTTTCAAAGCCCGGAAGAAGTAGAAAACTAGCTGCAAGTTGAAAGTGGTTTGCAAACACTGCGAGGTTCTACTCGAATAATAATTAATGCATCGCGGTTTTCCTCGCTGCATCAATATACATGATATGACGTTTCTCTTCAGATAAAACTAAATTCTAAATTCATTTGCCAAAAAAAAAAAAAAAAAAAAATGTTATTACCCGACCATTTATGATTAAATAACAATAAACATTTTTACAGCGATGGGGTAAAAAAAATATGCAGAAAAAAATATTGCAAAAAGTGCAGAAAATTTTTACGTGAAAAAGAACACCCGAGATATTCGAGAAGCTTACACGACCCACTTGTAGTTATGTATCACTCGTGTCAAAATTGTCTTCGCCGAGAAATTTTTTGTCTTAATCCTTAGAACAAATAAAAGTTTTTTTTCTCTCTCCAAAACGCTTATCTTTGTTGATTAAACAAGAATTTTTTTGTTTTATTCCCAAAATGGTTTTCTAAATCTAAAACTTATTTACTCAATAAAATTCATTTAAGCTCTGATTTTATTATTCATTCATTTGTTATAATTGTTCATGTTTTATTATAAATTTATTACTCACAAGCAAATATTTTAATTTCAAAAATTTTAATAAAATTCTTCATAAGAATTATTCAATTATTTTCATAAATAATAAGATTCTTCGTAAGAATTCAATTATTTATACATGGTAATTTTTTTTGTGCAAAAATTCGATAATTTTCAACAAAATTTAAAAAAAAAAATTCACGAAAGAATTCAATTATTTTCTAAAATTTTAATAAATCCTTCGAAACAATTAAATTATTTTTTTAAAAAGTTAAATCTTTGCAAAAATTCAATTATTTTCAATAAAATTTCAAGAAAGAATACAATTTTTTCTTAATTCGTTATAAAAATTTCAAAGGAATTCAATTATTTTCCAAAAGTTTTATTAAATCCTTCGAATAATTCAATTATATTTATAAATAGTGAAATTCTCATCAAAAATTTAATTACATTCAAAACAATTTCACAAAAGAATTCAATTTTTAAAAATTTAATAACATTTTTCAAAAATGTTCAATTATTATTCATACAATTATAATAAGATTTGATGAAAGAATTGAATTTTAAAAAAAATTTTAATAACATTTTTCGAAAAAAATCAATTATTTTCTAAAATATTAATAAATCCTTTGAAACAATTCAATTATATTAAAAATTTTAATAAATCCGTCGAAACAATTCAATTATAATTTTAAATAGTAAAATCTTTGAGATAATGCAATTATTTTCAAAAAAATTTTACGAAAGAATTTAATTGTTTTTAATTCGTTATAAAAAATTTCAAGAGAATTCAATTATTTTCTAAAATTTTAATAAATCCTTCGTGAAAATTTTATAAATAGTAAAATTCTTTGCAAAAATTCAATTATTTTCAAGAAAATTTCACAAAAGAATTCAATTATTTTCTTAAATAATAAAATCTTTGCAAAAATTCAATTATTTTCAAAAAAATTTCGCAAAAGAAAAATTTTATCACAATGCGTTATAAAATCTTTCAAAAATTCAATTTTCCAAAATATTTCACAAAAGTATTCAATTTTTAAAAAATGTGTAATAACCTTCTTCGAAAAAATTCAATTATATTTATAAACTTTGCATAAAATCAATTATTTTTAATACAATTATAATAAAATTTGATGAAAGAATTCAATTTTTTTTAAAATAATATTTGTAGAAAAAATTCAATTATTTTCTAAAATTTTAATAAATCCTTCGTAAAAATTTTGTAAATAGTAAAATTCTTTGCAAAAATTCAATTATTTTCAAGAAAATTTCACAAAAGAATTCAATTATTTTTAAAAATTTTAATAAATCCTTCTAAGCAATTCAATTATTTTCTTAAATAATAAAATCTTTGCAAAAATTCAATTATTTTCAAGAAAATTTCGCAAAAGAAAAATTTTATCACATTGCGTTATAAAATCTTTCAAAAATTCAATTTTCCAAAATATTTCACAAAAGTACTCAATTTTTAAAAAATGTGTAATAACCTTCTTCGAAAAAATTCAATTATATTTATAAATAGTAAAATTCTTTGCATAAAATCAATTATTTTTAATACAAATTATAATAAAATTTAATGAAAGAATACCATTTTTTTAAAAATAATATTTGTAGAAAAAATTCAATTATTTTCTAAAATTTTAATAAATCTTTCGAAGCAATTCAATTATATTTATAAATTGTGAAATTATGTACAAAAATTAAATTATTATTTTCAAAAAAATTTAAATTTAAAAACTTAATTTAAAAACTTGAATTAAATTGTTCCTGAAATTCAATTATTTTAAAAATTTTAACAAAATTCTTCGCAGGAATTCAATTATTTTTCTAAATAATACAATTCTTCGAAGGAATTCTATTATTATCAAATTTTCGGAATAAAATTCTTTGCAACGATTCGATGATTTTCAATACATTAATTTCAAAACTGAAAATCTTTAAAAAGAAAAATTATTTAAAAAGTTAGGAAACAAAAAAGCTTGAAAGAAATTGCTTAAAAACAACAAACTTCAAACTACAAACAGATTACGAAAATACAACTATTATTAATAAGGAAGATTCATTTGTTTATAATTTTTCACGTATTTTATTAATTTTAATTTAATCAGATTAATGTTAAGAAATGCTTTTCCTTTTATTCCGGGAAAAATGATTCCAACTAAAAATAAAGGAAAGGTCACAAAACTAGAATTAGGACTTTGGTGTATTGATTTTCATTTTATTATTCACTGATCCAAATTTTTGATAAATCTTTAAAAATATCTTACAATTAATATCATATTAAAAATAATAATTACTTTCTCGAAAATAGATTATCAATTTTAAGCAAATCTATTGCTAAAAACTACAATTGTAATTTTTTCAACATTAATTTTTTTTTAATTTTTAAATAAAATTATTCAAAACATTTATAATTTTTTAAGAAAAAAGAGTCAAAACGCGTCAACCGTGAATACATTTTTTTTTATAGTTTTCAAAATAAATATTTAAATATTATTACAGTTTTTTACGGACTTTTAGTCCGTATTCGACTATTTTTAAATACTTTCACTGGTTCGAGCCTTGTAAAGCTGGCTGAACCACTTTTATAAAAATGAATTTTTATTGTACCATTAATTAGTGCTCATTTTGTGCTAATATTTTACCATAATGCCGAATTTGTTATTTAAATTTTCTCATTGTTTATTTAAAAAAAAAAAACTCTAATTATGCTGAGTGAATGTTCCGCTGAACGGACAAATACGAAAAAATGCGTTAAATAAAGTTGCATTTCGACAGGTTCGACTGTACTATTTTCTTGAATTGTACCTAACGTGACAGTAGTTGGGAAATAATGACTTTCAACTTACCGTGATTTACATGAAGTAAATCTAGTGATACTGCTTTCGTCTCACGCAGACACATATCGTGTTCGGCAATTACCAAATTGTGGTTTATTATTCATAAATGCAAATTCGAATTACCTCTATGCGTTACGTGTAAACCTATTCTAGTTTCGGAAGCAGTTGGAAACTGTTCGCTAACGGCAGTAAAACGAGCATCAAGTGGCAAACTTTGCAGTTCCCAAGTGTTTGGCACAACTACCACTGTAACCTTTTTTTTCTCTCTCCTCCCTTTCCTCAAGAATGATGTGAAGACGCTTAGCAATTGTAGAAAATCTTTCCTCTTATCCTGATCTGAAGAGAGCGACATTTTCTCATTCTTGCTGAAAGAAATATAAGACTAGATACTGTCATCAGTGGAAGAAACTCGCAAACTTTTTAACGAACTTGAAAACTTATAACGACTCCTCTGAACTTTAGTTTTCTTTGACACTCTTATTCAACAATATGCATATTTTACAATTTAGCCTTTTAACTTTATATGTATACATATGTATATATTTATAAACATTGTGCAAATTTAATTATTCAATTGTTATACATCAGTTTTCTTGTTTGTTGCTGGAATTTGCATGCAATAACACATTGTAATTTAATCCAACATTTGCTTTTTGTGAAACTGTTTTCAATTAATATGATAATGTGGAAATTTATATAATCTACATGCCTGTGTACAATATTAATTTTCATTTAATGATTATTTACTACCTAATCAGTTGTTATTATTGTTACATTCAAAAATGGGTTATTGAATTACTGATGATTATTTGTTTTAATTTTTAAATATTTATTTCATAATAGTCAAGTCATTATTTGATTCAAATTTTTTCGGCACTACTGTAATCCTAAAATACTTGTGTATTTTGTGTATTTCAATTTTCCTAAAATCAACCAAATAAATTAACCCATATTTGGACTTAATTATTTTAAAACGCAATTTTAATCAAATTCTATATGAGGATTTTGAGTTATTTTTTAAAAAATTTGTAAGAATTCAATTATTCTCATAAATAATAAAATTCTTTGCTAGAATTAAATTGTTTTTATAAATAATAAAATACTTTAGATAAATCAATTCCATTTTGCATAAATAATACAATTTTTAGAGGAATTCAATTCTTTAACGTACAATTTTCATAAAACTTTTCGAACAAAATCAATTATTTACAAAATTATTTATAAAATTTTTTCTAAGAAGTTAATCATTTTGAATGCGCATTTAATAAAATTCTACATAAGAATTGAATTTTTTTTCATTAAAATTTTAATTAAATTCGACGACAAAATTTATAAGAAAATTATTCTCATAAATGATAAACACCTTAACTGAAATTCAATTATTTTTATGAATAATAAAATAATTTAGATATATTCAATTATTTTGAATATGAATTTATTAAAATTCTTTGCTGAAATTGAATTATTTTTAGAAATATTAAAATTTTGACAGGAATTCAATAATTGAAAATCTAATTTTCATGAAATTTTTTTTGAGAAATATCAATTATTTAAAAGAATTTTTTTTAATTTCTTAACAGGAATTCAATTATTTTCAAAAGTAATAAAATTCTTTGCTGAAATTCAATTAATTTTTGTATATGATAAAATACTTTAGAAAAATTCAATTATTTTGAATATAATTTTAATTTAATGATTTTCATAAATACTAACATTTTTACAGGATTTCAATTATTTAAAAATTAAAATACAATTTTCATAAAACTTTTCAAACAAAATCAATTATTTACAAAAATATTTTTAAAATTTTTTCTAAGAATTTAAATTATTTTCAATACAATTTTAAAAAAATTCTACATAGGAATTGAATGTTTTTCATTAAAATTTTAATAATATTCGTCGACAAATTTTATAAGAAAATTATTCTCATAAATAACAAAATTCTTTTTAATGCAATTTTAATAAAATTTCTTGAAAGAATTCAATTATTTTTAAAAATTTTAATAAAATTCTATGTAAGAATTAAATTATTTTCAATAAAATTTTAATTCAATTCGACGAAAAAATTTGTGAGAATTCAATTATTATTCTCATAAATGATAAACAGCTTCACTGAAATTTAATTATTTTTAAGAATAATAAAATATTTAAGATAAATTCAATTATTTTGAATATGATTTTAATAAAATTCTTTGCTGAAATTCAATTATTTTCATAAATATTCAAATTTTCACAGGAATTCAATAATTAAAAATAAAATTTTCATGAAATTTTTTTGAGAAAAATCAATTATTGAAAAGAATGTTTTTTAAATTTCTTAACAGGAATTCAATTATTTTGAAAATTAATAAAAATTGTCGCAAAATTTTAATTATTTTCAATTCATATTTTTTTAATGAATTCCCCGAAAAATAAATGCAATGATTTTGAAAAATTGAGTTAAATTTTTTCGAAAAAATCCAATTATTTTAAGAATTTTTGATAAAATTCTTTATATAAGAATTCTATTTTCAGAAATGTTCAATTATTCAATAAATTATTTATTTTTATATTTAAATAATTGAATTCTAGTAGAATCTTTTAATAAAAATTGGTTTAAAACTGAATTTTAGTTTAAATTTGAGATAATTATTGAATATTGAAAGCGCACAACAATAATTCAATTATTTCAAAAAAAATTTTAATAAAATTATTTGTAAAAATTCAATTATTTTTATAAATTATATAAAATTCCAATAAGATTTTTAAAGAATTCAATTATTTAAAACTTAAAATACAATTTTTAAGCAAATTTTTGTTGCAAATCAATTTGTATTTAATAAAATTCTTATGAAATTGTTCGCAAGAATTTAATTATTTTCAATACAATTTTTATGAAATTCTATATAAGAATTGAATTATTGTCAATAAATTATTTAATTAAAAGGTCTGTGAAGCTGGCTGAACCACGTTCATAAAAATTAATTTTCATTATGCCATTAATTAGTGCTCGAATATTGCTAATTTTTTATCATATTGCAAAATTTTTAACTAAATCCCTTTAATGAAAGTAAAAATGTTAAATTTTAAGAATTTTTTATTTTTTATACAAGTGGTAAGGATGGTTTTTTTTACCAAAGGGTGGAGTCAAAAGAACGAGTATGGTGTTTTTGCAAAGCCCAAAAATAATTAAGCTAAATCCTTTAAAAAAAAAAAAAATAAAAATCTTAAATTTGAAGAATTTTCGTTTTATAATTGAATTTCGAAAATTTATTCTATTAAAATGCTAATGAAGATAAAAAGAAATCTTTAAAAATTGAAAGTGAAAATGAAAGTCAAAGTAAAAAATGAAACTACATAATCGACTTCTAGTTTATCAGTATTCAGAGAACTTGTCCAAGCGATAAATTGGTGAACTTTCACAATTTCTCCTTCCAAATTACCTGCGACAAATTTCTTCTCGAGATCAGTGCATGATAACTGTTGTGAAGCTCGTCTACCCTGAGGCATCTCTGAATCTCGAGTTGCTAAAGCATTGCTTTTTTTTCCCACCTTTCTGTTGACATCCTATTTCAATTTTTTTTTTTTAACTTTTTTCAACCATCCTTTATATACAATGAACGTGTTTCGACTTAGAAAATCCGTTTCAACTTTATATGAAAAATAGAAAAAGGAAACATGAATTTTCGAAATGAAAATTCAATTTCTCACTTTTTTTAAATTACATCTTATCGGGGGAATTCCAGTATATTAAACCAATTTAAAGAGGACAGAGCCGAGAGTGTATTCTTTTCATGTGCCACACATTTTCCATTTTGTGCAAAAACAAAAGTTTTCGACTCGCTGTGGAAACTCAACTCGTAAGAAAGTCGTTATCTCAGTCGCATTGTACTGTGGATTTGTGTCAGCTTTTACTCTCGGCACGTTTCATATCCAAGATACTCGAACAATTCTTGAGGCGAGCATCGAAACGTGTATAGAGAGAGAGAGAGAGAGAGAGAGAGAGAGAGAGAGAGAGAGAGTGTGAGAGAGAGAGAGAGAGAGAGGCGAAAGCTGTGTGCGCACGTATAGCACGATGAACTGATTCCTTCAAGACTTTTGCTTTCCTTTTTTGCAGACCGGATATCAATGCGATAAGAGCACTTCCTATGGTACCAGCTGCAGTGAAATCTACACCAACTGCAGTGAGCAGAGTGTCCATTGAGGATCGAGATCTGGCCCGTCAGGGAAGTCTGGTCGATGGCGAGGGCATCAAGATTGTTATCCACGATGTCGACAGCGAAGTCGGTGAGTTTTTGACACGAAACGAGAATTTTACATCATATTTTATTCCCAGCTTGCACATACATTTCTATTCCATTTTCTCAATGGCTGCAAACATTTTTATTTTCGTGACGCACAGGCCAAATGTTACAATCATTCGCTGTACGGGTGGTGCAGTGTAAAAAAAATTCTACGAACTATAAAAAAATTCTTTGAGCATGTTGTATACGTACTTTTAAAATCTCTTTTGAAAATAATAATGGAATAGTTCTTTTTTAAAGAGGGAATAAAAATAATTTTTAACTATTTAAATCAAGGGTGCCATATTGTTAATTGACTTTCACTTTAGGTTTAACTTTGACTTTGATATTCACTTTCTGACCTTGAACTTCATTAAGAAAAAAATCTTTTCATTCAAAAAAAGCAAAGTCAAAAAAGTCAATTTTCAGGTCGAATGTCGAAATCGAAGCGAAAGTCACAGTTAGCGACTTAAAACCTAGTTTACTACTGAAACTGAAATTATTTCCTTTAGTATTTATAATTTTAGCTCCTATTGTGTAAATTAAAATAAATTTTACTATTTAAAATATAATTTCTGTATTTTAAATCGCCTTGTCTGACAAAATATAAGCTTTACTACTCAAACTAAAATTAATTTTTAAATATTTTAATTATTAACTGTGTTTGTCTGACTGAAAATAAAATATACTACTGAAACTAAAATTAAATATATTTTTCATCTGCTAATATATTTTATATCTGCTTTAAAATAAATTTTACTACTGAAATGTACAATCTCAGGGTTTCTGATCCCATTGTCTGACTCAATATCAATTTTTTTACTCAAAGTAAAATAATTTTTTATTTATTTCCATTTTTAGCTGCTTTCGTCTTAATAAAAATAAGTTCCACCACTAAAACTACAATTAAACTACAATTAAATATATTTAATTAACTTGTCTGACTAAGATAAATATTACTACTGAAAGTGCAATTAATTAGTTTTTAATCACCTTGTCTGACTTAAAATCTATTTTATTACTTAAACTACAATTATTTTTTATATATTTACATTTCCAGCTGCTTTTGTCTCAATAAAAATAAGTTTCACTACTAAAACTGCAATCAAACTACAATAAAATATATTTCATTAACTTGTCTGACTTATAGTAAATTTTACTACTGAAACTACAATTAAACCGTTTTTAATCACCTTGTCTGACTTAAAATCAATTTTACTACTTAAACTACAATTATTTTTTATATATTTATATTTTTAGCTCTTTGTGTCTGACTGAAAATAAATGTTACTACTGAAACTACAATTAAACGGTTCTTTATCACCTTGTCTGACTTAAGGTAAATTTTACTACTGAAACTACAATTAAACTTCAAATTGAATATATTTAATTAACTTGTCTGACTTATAGTAAATTTTACTACTGAAACTGCAATTAAACCGTTTTTAATCACCTTGTCTGACTTAAAATCAATTTTACTACTTAAACTACAATTATTTTTTATATATTTATATTTTTAGCTCTTTTTGTCTGACTGAAAATAAATGTTACTACTGAAACTAAAATTATTTTTAAATCTATAATTTCGTTTCAGTAGTAAACATTATATGAAGTCAGACAAAACATTTAAGAACCGTTTAATTGTATATTCATTAGTAAAGTTCATCTTAAGTCAGACAAAATAAATGTTTAAAATTATAATATATAATTAATTAATTTTAGTTTCAGTAGTAAAATTGATTTTAAGTCAGACAAAGCGATCAGAAACACTGAAACTGTGGTTTTGAGTAATAAAAACAATTTTTAGTCAGAGAACTAGATTAAAAACTATATTCTTGTATTTTTAGTAGTAAAATTTATATTTAGTCAAACAAAAACAGCTAAACATTGAGCTATATAAGAAATAATTTTAGTTTCTATAGTAAAACTTATTTTAAAATAAACAAAAATAATTAAAAATCGAAATATGTGAAAAATTATTTTATTTAAAAATTATTTCAGTAGTAAAACACATTTACAGTCATACAAAAATAATTATATGAAATATGTATGTAAAAACTTATTTAATGTTCAGTAGAAAAACTTATTTTAAGTAACACAAAACGATTAAGAAACCGTGTTATTTTAGTTTCAGTAGTAAAACTTATTTTAAGTCAGACACAAGGTGATTCAAAATATATTTAATATTTGTACCGTTTTAAATTCAGTAGTAAAAAATATGAAATTAATTTTAGTTTCAGTAGTAAAACTTATTTTCTGTCAGGCAATAGCAAATTTAACGGTATTTAATTGTCGTGTCTGAGTTAAAAACAATTTTATTACTGAAATTAAAATTATATTATAAATATTAAAAATTTTTAACTACTTTTGTCTGACTGAAAATATGTTTTACTACTGAAACTGAATTTCTCGGCCTTTAATCGCCTGGACTGACTTAAAATAAATTTTACTACTTTAACAAAAATTACTTTATTTTTAATCGTCTTGTCTGACTTAAAATAAGTTTTACTACTGAAACTATAATTACACAGTTTTTAATCGCATTGTCTGACTTAAAATAAGTTTTACTACTGAAACTAGAAATACGCGTTATTTAATTGCCTTGTGTAACTTAAAAATCAATTTTACTATTAGGACTAAAATTATTTTTTATATATTTTTATTTTCATCAGTTCTTGTCTGACTGAAAATAAGTTTTACTTATTACTTTTATAAATAAGTTTTAAAATAAGTTTGTAAAATAAGTTTTACTACTGAAACTACAATTAAACTATTATTAAATAAATTTTTAATCACGTTCTAAATCTCTTGGATAGTCAAAGTAAAATTACAAAATCGCACCCGACGACTCAAAAATTTAACTACACGAGAGCTTAAGAGAGTTAATTTTTGTTAATTAAATTTAGAAAATTGAGTGCCCTCACCAAAAATATAAAGGTTAACGAGTTTGTTCTTGAGTAGACAGACTATACCATCTTGAAATTCAATTAGCGAGGTAAAAAGAATAAATATTTCGTTAGCCCGTTTCAATTAACAGTAGCCCATCCTAAGTACAAGCAAAGGCATTTATTTCTTTTCCGCCTTTTTATATAAGTACAATACACAAGAGTAAAGACGTCGAAAAAAATAAGAAGAAAAAATGTTTAGAGAGAGAGAGAAATATGACAATATGATACAAAAACTTTATAAACGAAAACTTTTCCTCTCCGGAGTAAGTTTTGTATGTAAAAAATTTTCAAGCGAAAAAAAAAATCATTTTTTTTATTTAATATCGGAAATTACTTCACGTTTAGTTTTACTTATTGAAATCAAAATAAATTTACTAAACATAAAGTTAAAAAAGCTACAACAATATCTGTGCATACGAAAATCATTTAGAAAAAGAAAGAGAGAAAGAAATATGAAAACAGAAAAAAAACTTTGTCTGACGTAAAACCAATTTTACTACTGAAACTAGAATGAAACTAATATTAAAAATATTTTTAATTACCACGTCTGAAAAAGAAAAAAAAAAGAGAGAAGAAAAAGGGAGAAAAAAAAGAAAAAGCGGGAGAAATATGAAAGGAGAAAAAACGCAATTTTGAGAAAGAATACTAAGAAGGAAAAAAAATTATGATTCCACTGTTGTGCAACAGGAGGATCGAAATAGGGAAGGAAGAGAAAAGGAAAAATGGCAAAAGAATTGCAAAACCTAAAGAAAGATATCATAGTAGAGAAGCAAGAGTCAATAAACGATAAAAATTGTGAAGAAAAGAAAAAATAAAATAACACTGGAAAAATTGATATCAGTGTTTTTCTCTGAAAAAATAAATTTAGCAAAAAAGAGGCTGCTTCATATTCTCTGCTTCAACTGTAACGACAACTAAGATCAATGTTTCCATCATATTTGATTTTTCAGAGATCAGACTTTTTTCAACATAATATTAGGAAAAAAAAGGTGATTTTAATTTTTTAAATTTACCTTGAAAAAGTAAATTCATTTTAAGAAAGAAGATTTTAATGTTTAAAAAGGGGATTTACTTTAAAAAACAGAATTTTCATTTTTAACCAAGAGATTTACTTTAAGAAAGAGGATTTTTGAAATAAAAAAATAATTGTTCATTAACTTCTTCAGTCATCACGAATTATAAAAGAACGAATAAAAATATAAATTAGACTACATCGCTAATAAATATTCTCTTATAAGTATTTTGAATTCGAATTTTGCAAAACGAATATATATTTTGCAATTTTTTCTTCCAATTTAATTAATTTTATCATTTCCTTAAAAATACTGTATAGCTGATATTTTTCGTTAAATAAACGAATTCGAGCTTTTAAATTATTCCTTTGATAATTGTATTTTACTTATAATAATTATAATTATTTATACTTTAATATGAATTTACTTACGAAATAAACTCGACAGGAAACAAAATATGTTTAACTCACCTGAAACAAAAATAACAGCAAATAATTTATATAGGAATTATAAAAAAATTAAGAATTAAAACAAATGATAAAATTTCTATTAAATAATTCAATTCAATTTTTGTTTTAAAATTCCGTGAATTTTACTATAAAGTAAATTTGAGTAAAAAACAGTAAAAATTTACTTTGGTATTGTTAAAATTTCCTCAAAAAATAATAAATAATAATGTTTTAATCAAAAATTGTATTACGCTGAAAGAAAATTTTTTAAAAATTTCATGCAAAAATTAACTGTATAGAAAAAGTAAAATATGCTAATAAAAATCATTATTTCAAACAATTTTTCTGAGGATATTAAATTGAGACAAAAAAAGAATCAAAAATGTTGCGAAGCAACGTTTTGATTCTTTTTTTGGTCTCAATTTGATATCCTCAGAAAAACTGCGAATAAAAATTAGTAAAATATACTTTCGATTTAGTAAAATTTATTCTCGAAAAAGTAAAATTTATTCAAATTGCCAGCAATTCCAAACAGTTTGGATTTTTCTTTATAAAACAAGTAAAAGTTACCTTATCCTTGTTTCCTCATAAAAAAAATTTCTAAGATAAAAACACTGAGGAAATAATAAAAAAAGATATCAGTTTCAAAAAGCCAAAAACTCTTCAATCAAGTAAAAAATTAAAAACAATTTCCAACCCGAAAATAATTGCGATTGATTCAGAACAGAAACTTTTTGCCATGAGCAAAGAGAACCTAGTTAGAACTGATTGTACGGAATTTAAAATTGAATTTGAAGCGGTAAACCTCTGACGATTTGAAACAAAAGCATTTTGATGACAAACGAACGAACGAACGAACGCTGAAAAACAAAAGCAGCAGAGAGAAATAAAAATATCTATAAGCCAAAGTCAACGTGTTTATATATAAATGTTCGAAAATATATAAATTCACTCTAATTTTTTACTCGAACCTAAATTAAAATCAGTGGTCGTGTGCGCGGTTGATGTTAATTTAAATGGATGGATTGTAATATGAAACCCATGACTCGTTAATTTAATGGAATCGTGGATCGCTAATCAGAGGATTAAAGTTGTGGTCGAGCCTTCATGGCGTATATAACAAAATATATATATATATATACGCAGACTCTAATGCACGCAAACAGGAGAAATGGCCGTTTGTTTGCGTGTTTCGCACGCCTGCCAACAAAATGATCATACCTTAAGATTTTATCACCAATAAACCGTTATTTGCCCTGACCTCTTTGTCACTATACGTACAGTGCGACAATTTCTCCACGAGAGAGGGAAATAAATTTTCTAATTAAACGAAAACCTTGAATCAATTTCTTCAAACAAGTGATAAATAATCTATCTCTATAAATTTTTATTCGTTAAAAATATAACTATGTAGGGGAACCTTGATAATTAGCTGAATACTAATTCAGACAGGACACGATTTTTAATTGTTGTGTCTGACTGAAAGTAAATTTTACTACTGAAAGTAAAATTATTTGGAATATATTTTGATTTTAAAGTATTTTTTTTATTTAAAAAAACTATCATTACTGAAATTGGAATTAATACACGGATTTTATCGGCTTGTCTGACCTAAAATCAATTTTACTACTGAAACTAAAATTATTTTATTATATTTTTATTTTTAGCTGCTTTTGTCTGAATGAAAATAAGCTTTATTATTAAAAATAGAATTTCTATATTTTTAATCGCCTAGTCTGACAAAAAATATGCTTTACTACTGAAAATAAAAATATTTCTTACATATTGTGATTATTAATTGTTTTTGTCTGACTGAAAATAAAATTTACTACTGAAATTAAAATTCAATATATTTTTAATAACCTTGTCTGACTTAAGGTGAATTTTACTACTGAAACTACAATTACACGGTTATTAATTACCTTATCTGACCTAAAATCAATTTTACTACTGAAACTAAAACAATGCTAATATTAAATATGTTTTTAATGACTATATGTCTGACTTAAAATGAGTTTTACTACTGAAACTAAAATTGATTCTTATATATTTTGATTTTTATTTGTTTTTGTGGGATTAAAAATATTTTCTACTACTAAAACTACGACTATAAGGATTTTAATCTAATTGTCTGACTTATAATAAATTTTACTACTGAAAGTACAAATACACGGTTTTAAATCGCCTTGTCAGACTTAAAATCAATTTTACTACTAAAAATAGACTAATACGGTTTCTTAATCTTTTTGTCTGATTTAAAATAATTTTTTTACTAAAAATAAATTAATTTTTTACATATTTCAATTTTTAAATATTTTTGTATGACTAAAAATAAGTTGTACTACTAAAACTAAAATTATTTCTTATATATTTCAATGTTTAGCTGTTTTTGTCTGACCTAAAATAAATTTTACTACTGAAAATACAATAATACTGGTTTTAATCGTTTTGTTTTACTTAAAATAAGTTTTACTACTGAAACTAAAATTATCAATATCGAATATACTAAAAACGTGATATATTTTCTCTTTTTCTATATAAAATAAACACAAATTTACACTAGCTTTGATTTAATTTTTTTGTGCTTAGCTTCAGACTGAAAATAACTTTTACTACTGAAAGTAAAATTATTTGGAATATATTGTGATTTTTAATTATTTTTTTTTATTTAAAGTTACTAGCTGTCAATACTGAAACTACAATTACACGGTTTTTATCGCCTTGTCTGACTTAAAATCTACTTTACAACTGAAACTAAAATTATTTTTTTATTTTTTTATTTGTAGCTTCTTTTGTCTGAATGAAAATAAATTTTACTATTAAAAAAAAGAATTTCTATATTTTTAATCGCCTTTTCTAACAAAAAATATACTTTACTACTAAAACTAAAAATATTTTTAACATATTTTGACTGTTAGCTGTTATTGTCTGACTCAAAATAAATTTTACTACTGAAACTACAATTTAATATATTTTTTATCACTTTGTCTGATTTAAAATTTATTTTACATTTGAAACCTACAATTAAACTACAATGAAATATATTTTTAATCACTTTGTCTGACTTAAAATAAGTTTTACTACTGAAACTACAATTACACGGTTTTTAATTGCCTTGTCTGACTTAAAATCAGTTTTACTACTGAAATTAGAACAATACACATTTTGATCGTTTTTTGTCTGGCTGAAAATAATTTTTACTACTATAACTAAAACGATACTAATATTAAATATATTTTTAATCACTTTGTCCGACTTAAAATAAATTTTACTACTGAAACTATAATTACACGGTTTTCAATCGCATTGTCTGACTTAAAATCAATTTTACTACTAAAACTAGACTAATACAGTTTCTTAATTGTTTTGTCTGACTTAAAATAAGTTTTACCACTGAAACTAAAATAATATTTTACATATTTCGATTTTTAAATATTTTTGTCTGTCTTAAAATAAGTTTTACTACTGAAACTAAAATTAATTTAATATTTTTTACTACTGAATTTAAAACGATACAAATATTAAATATATTTTTAATCATTTTATCTGATTTAAATTAAGTTTTACTACTGAAACTACAATTACACGATTTTTAAATTCCCTTGTCTGACATAAAATCAATTTTACTACTGAAACTAGAACAATACATATTTTAATTGTTTTTTCTGACTGAAAATAATGTTTACTACTGAAACTAAAACGATACTAAAATTAAATATATTTTTAATCACTTTGTCCGACTTAATATAAGTTTTACTACTGAAACAACAATTACACGGATTTTAATCGCCTTGTCTGACTTAAAATAAGTTGTACTACTGAAACTGAAATTATTTCTTATATATTTCGATATTTAGTTGTTTTTGTCTGATCTAAAATAAATTTTACTAACTGAAAATACCAATAATACCGTTTTTAAACCATTTGTCTGACTTTTAAAATAAGTTTTTCTACTGAAACTAAAATGATCAATATCGAATATACTAAAAACGTGATTCATGTTCTCTTTTTCTATTTAATAAAAAGTAATTAACACCAGATTTCATTTAATTTTTTTGCGCTCAGCTTCAGAATACTTTCAATTATGTTCAAAGTGATGGAATTTTTTTTTTTTTGAAAAAAGATAAAAATGAGTATAGAATGAAATTTTGATCGGATTTAATCTGGTGTGCCACGGATACTATTTTTATGGATTTGAAGATTATTTTTAACTGGGTGACTGACCGCGAGAAACACGTATGAAAGGTAAAGTCGAGAACCAAAATCGGCGTTACGCTCAATCAAGCAGAAATCGTTCAATGAGGCCGTGAAAATCGAGCAAAACTAATCTTTGTCCCTAAAACTAGTCTTGGACACTTGATTTGCAAAATGACAAGACAAGCTTATTTAAGAATCTCAGCTTTTCTCGAATTTTTTCTTCAAACTTATTTCACGTAAACTCAAAATAAGTGCCATTTTTTATATGTCAGTGTTAATAATTTTATTCATTCTATCAATTTATGTTAATTAATTGATTACAATCTAATTTTTTTATGTTAAATTTCATTATCAAATAATATTCAATTAAAAATTTTATTATACTTTTTCTCTCTTTGCTAATTCGATATTCTATTTTTTAATTTCAGGTGCAAGAGGAAATACTAAGAGATTCATTTTACGGAGAGATACAGCCGTTGAGAAAGGACATAGATGTGAGTTTCTTTCTTTTGATTCCTATTTGCATGATTGAAAATTATTCTTCTTCTTATTCTTTTTTTCAGTATTTTATGAAAAATCGCATTAATTTTAAAAGAATAATACTTGAAAGAGTAAAAGAAAGTTTCAATGAACAAAGACCTACTATATTGTTTGTCGGTCGCAAGCACTCTGAGAAACTTTACTCATTTCTCTGAATAAAAAAGTCTTAATCCTTTTAAAACTTTTCGAACCTTGTTAATTATACGAACCAAATAGTTAATACAATAATTGACTTTAATTATATTAATTTGATTTAGTGGATGTGTCTTTCGAATTTTAGCGCATTCTTTTTAATTATTTTTCACCGCGTAAAATTTGGAAACAAAAAAAGAACAAAAAATAAAATAAAAAACGAAGAAGGAAAAAGAAAAAAAATAAAAAAAAATAAAGAAATAAAAAACAGAAAAAACTAAGTAACACTGTAAAAAGTCCACTTTTGAATAAAATAGAAAGAAATTTTTAAATTATATAATAGACAGTATTACTAATTGCTAAAGTAATGAGGAGTTTATAGAAAATAAAAACAAAAGCTCTCGAGTTTATTCTTATCATTATTTGAAATCATAACGAATGTCTGGGAAAGACTTAATTAACAATTCAACAATGATTAGATTCATAGTGGGTATATAATTTTAAAGTCAAACGAGACTTGTTCCGAGTGTTGAATACAGTTGTATTTAATTGTCAGCAGAATCTTATGAAACACGAACAAGAAAATGAAAAGTTATTCTCGAATAGAAGTTATACAAAAAAAAATTTTCGAAAACGCAAGGCTCGAACCAGTGAAAGTATTTAAAAATACGAACTTTACGGACCAATTATTACTGACAAAAATATAACCAGAAAAAGTCAAATAAGAGAACAATTTACTTAAAACTTTCTTCATGTTTTATAATAATTAAAGATGGCACATTGATAAAATCATTATTTTATATTATAAGAATTTTAATACTGCAACTTTTAAAAAAATATTTTCAACATTTCAATTCAATTATAATATTCTAGAATTCAATTAAACTTTTCAAAAAAAATAATTTCACAAATAGTTACTTAAAATTTTAATTTTCAAAGATTTTAATTTAAAACCTTTTCAGAATTCAATTATTTTTAAAAATTCATGTTATAATGCTTTTAATATTTTCAATTATTCTCTATAAAATTTTAACTGGAATTCATTTTTAAATCAATTTTTATTAGAACATTCAACTAGAATTCAATTATTTAAATACAAAAATTAATAATTTATAGAATAATTGAATGTTTTGTAAAACTGAATTCTCATAAAGAATTTTATCGATAAATTTTTAAACAATTTAATTCTTTTGATAAATATTTAAATAATATTTTAATAATTCTTTTGATTTTTATTCTTTTGATAAATTGTAATAAAATTTTTAAGAATAATTACATTTTTCGAGGAATTCGATTAAAATTGTATTAAAAATAATTGAAATTCTGCAATGAATTTTATTATTTATGAAAATAATTGAATTCCTAAAAAGAATTTTATTATTTCTGAAAATAATTGAAACTTTGTAAAAAATTTTATTATTTATGAAAATAATGAAATTATTGCGAAGAAATTTATAAAAAATTGATAAATAATTGAATTTCTTGTGAAACTTTTATTATTATATGAATATAATTCAATGTTTGCGCAGAATTTTATTAAAATAGTAGATATTAAAAATCATTGAATTGAGGAAAATTTTTGAAAATAATTGAAATTTTTGCCGAGACTTTTTTTTAAATAATTGTATTGATTCGAAGAATTTTGTAAAAAAATTTAAAAATAATTGAAATTTTGCAACGAATTTTTTTAAAGTTTTCAAAAATAGTTCAATTCTTACGAAGAACTTTATTAATTTTTCTTTGAATAATTGAAATCCGAAAAAGAATATTATAAAAATGATTTTAAATAATTGTTTTTATTCGAAAAATTTTATGAAGATTGTGTTTTTCTAATAATTTTAACTGAAAGTTTTCAAAGTAATTGAATTTTATATAAAAAATTTCTTTCAAGTTTTTACAATAATCGTGTTTCTTAATAATTGAAATTAAACATTTAATTCTTGAATTTTATTGAAATTTTTAGAAAATAATTAAATTATTTCGAAGGAATTTCTTTAATTTACTGAATGCAATCGAATTTGTTAATAATTGTATTGAAAATAATTAAATTCCTGAGAAGAATTGTATTATTTATGAAAAATAATTTAATTCTTACAATAAATTTAACTATACTTATAAAAATAATTGAATTTTTTCAAGAATTTTATTAAAATTTTGGAAAATAATTGAATTTTGGAGAAGAATTTTATTATTTACAAAGATAATTGAAATTTTGATAAGAATTGTTAAAAACTTTTGAACATGATTGAATTTCTACAAAGAATTTTATTTCTTTTGAAAATAATTGAATTTTTGCAATTATTTGTACCTTCTCAAAAATTCTCCAAATTATATCGTTAAATTTACGAACATTTCTTCCTATTTCAATCAAATTACGGATTTTACGGACCTTTTTTAAAAAAAACTGACTTTTACGGACTTTAAACAAATTTACGGATCTTTATAGGATTATTTTTCTTGGAAAACAATTTTCTTAGAATATAAAGAATATTTATTTAAAACTTGAATTTCAATGTCGAATAATTTTTGCGAGATATAAATCGCAACTACGTCCAATTTTATACTCGGCGAGTCGTAAAAATGCTCATAAGCGAATAACTACGTGAGTCGATTGTAGTATCATAGAAGGAGCATCGTTACCAAAAATTCCACTGGTCTGAATTATATTAATATTTATATGAAAATCATAATGCGTGAAGAATATTTACACCCAGAAAGAAGATATATATATATATTTCATTTAGAGCCTACTAAACATTTTATTTCTTCCAATTTCTTGTTCGTTCCAAATATTTTTTATCTGTTCAAAAAAAAATTTATTTGAAACAAATAAAAAGTTAAGTGGAATAAAAATTTTTAGCGTAGAATAAAAATTTGTGTAGAATAAATTTTTATTTAAAAAAAAAAATTAATTCAATAAAGGGAAGTTGTATATATATAAATAATTCTGGAAATAGAATAAATTTCTTTTTCAACCGAGGAGGAAAAAAATAATTACGGAAGAGGAGAATTAGAACAGCTCAGGTAATTTTGTCGTCATTTTAGGAAACACGTTCAATCCTTAAACTTCAGGATATTAGGCACATGCATATATGTGACCTCGCACCATATTTGTATGTATCAGTGCGAAATTCTCAATCGTTCTTCCGCTACACTGATTCTGCGCAGCTAATGGGTATGGGATGTCAGTCTGAACATATTGGTACATTCATGTCCTTGATGCAGATTTGCGGAGATTTAATAACAATGCCCTTGCTCCATTGACTAGAACAATGTGGCGTCCATTTCGAACAGGGACAAATGTCCCTTTTGGGAAGGGGGAAAAAAAGGGAAAACAAGTAAAAATTGGATATGAGGTACAATTTAACAGATACTACAACTTCTTCACTAAATATAACTGCCAATTAACTTTCAATAAATGTAATGATTTAATATTATTTGTTTTACTACTGAAACTAAAATTATTTCTCATATATTTCGATGTTTAGCTGTTTTTGTCAGACTTAAAAAAAAATTTACTACAGAAAGTAAAACGATACTAATGTTAAATATACTTGTAATGTTGTAATCACCTTGTCTGACTTGAAATAAGTTTTACTACTGAAAATAAAATTACACGGTCTTTAATTGTCTTGTCTGACCTTAAATCAATTTTACTACTGAAACTAGAATAATAAGGTTTCTAAATTGTTTTGTCTGACTTAAAGTCTTAAAATAAGTTTTAGTACTGACACTCAAATAATTTTTGACATATTTCGATTTTTACATATATTTTTGTCTGACTTAAAATGAATTTTACTACTGAAAGTACAATAATACAGTTTTTATCGACTTTCCTGACTTAAAATAATTTTTACTACTGCAACTAAAATAATACGGTTTCTTAATCGTTTTGTCTGACTTAAAATAATTTTTTTACTAAAGCAAAATTAATTTTTTACATATTTCAATTTTTTAATTTTTTTGTCTGACTTAAAATAAGTTGTACTACTGAAACTAAAATTATTTCTTATATATTTTGATATTTAGATGTTTTCGTCTGACCTAAAATAAATTTTACTACTGAAAATACAATAATACCGTTTTTAATCGTTTTGTTTGACTTAAAATAAAATTTCCATTGACATTAGAATTACACGGTATTAAATTGTCTTGTCTGACCGAAAATGAGTTTTACAACTGAAACTTGAATTGTTTTTTTGTACATTTTCATTTTTAACTGCTTATGTCTAAAAGAAAATTAATTTTATACTGTAACTACAATTAAACAATTTTAATCACCTTATCTAACTTTAAATAATTTTTGATAATGAAATTACAATTATACAATCTTTAATTGTATTTGTCTAACATTCTTTGTTTAATTGTCTTGCCTGACTAAAATTTAATTTTATTACTGAAATTGAAATTTTTTTATAAATATTAAAATATTTAACTATTTTTGTCTGACAAAAATTATGTTTTACTACTGCAATTACAATGTAAGTAAGTTTTTAACCGTCTTTGTCTGACTGGAAATATATTTTACTACTGAAACTTAAATTAAATATTTTTTAATCCCCTTGTATTATTAAAAATAAATTTTACAACTAAAATTGAAATCTTTTTATATTTTCAATTTTAATTATTAGTATATAAATTAAAATTTTTTAATAATAAAATTTTTGTGACTTAAAATAAATTTTACTATTGAAACTAAAATAATACGGTTTTTAATAGTTTTATCTGACTTAAAATAAGTTTTACTACTGAAACGACAATTATTTTATAAATATTTTAATTTATATCTATTTCTGTCTGACAGAAAATAAATTTTACTACT